GTGGGCTGCTGGAAGAACAGCCCTGACTTTGCCTGGACCAAGTAGAGTCAACACATCACTTCCCCTGTCTCGTGATGAGCCTGCTCCCACTCCAGAGTCAGAATCCCAGCTCTCTGGACAGTCACAAGGCGGCAAGGTCCTATGTCACCCCCATAAAGTACTCAGAGGTATTCCTCTCTCCTCCAACCAGAATCAGGAAGACCAAACAGCCCCTAAAATTAGGAGGGACTGAAATGAGACAGAGGCGCAAAGGGAAACGTCTTCGAGAGAGAAAACACGAGTAAAATCACAGAGTTATTGTTGCATATCAGTTTGAAGGCAGGTTTTCATTTGTATCGACTACCCATGGAAAATGGAGGGAATTCGAAAATGAGTTTGGAAGCTGGGCATGGTGGCACACAACTGTAATCCCAGCATTTAAGAGGCTAAGGTTGGAGGATGGCTGTGAGTCTGAGGCCAGCCTAGTCTACACATCGAGACATAGACTAGCTTAGTCTCTATAGCAAGACTTTGTCTTAAACAAAAACAAAACAAATGGGTTTGGAACAACCAGAACCAGCAGGTCTGAATTCTGAATTGGGTAAGGGGGGTGGAAGAGAGAGTCTAAGAGGAAGATTGCCTTAGTAATTCCAGTGGGTACCAGGTGGGGCTGAGGGACAGACAGCTCAGGTGGTGTTTGACTTGCAAGCATGAGGGCATGAGTTCAATTTCTAAAATCTATGTTAGAAAACAAAAACAGGCTGGGCATTGATGGCACACGCCTTTAGTCCCAGCACTCAGGAGGCAGAGGTAGGCGGATCTCTGTGAGTTCAAGACCAGCCTGGTCTACAAGGGCTAGTAACAAGCCTCCAAAGCCACAGAGAAACCCTGTCTCAAAAAAACAAAAAACAAACAAAAAAAACCAAAAACCAAAAACAACCCCCCCTCAAAAAAAAAAAAAACAAAAAACAGACCTGAGTGAGTGCGATGGCATGTGATTATCAACTCCAGTAGCGGGGAGGCAGAAACTTTGTGAATTCCAGGCCAGTGAGAGAACCTTACTCAAAAAGCAAGGTATACAGTGCCCCAGGAATGACAGCTGAAGTTGTCCTCTTGTCTGCATACATGTGTACTGCACTCACAAGAACACACATACAAACACACGCACAAACATGCACGCACACACACCTACATACAAATAGGTATCAGATAGAGAAACAGACATGATGAAAGCTCACTGGGTGGGGATCCTCATGAGGCAGGGTAGTGACCTGTGTCACACAAAGAACCAAGGGCCTAGCTAAATGTGAGCTCCTAGCTAAATGTGTCACCATTTGCCATTGGGAAACAGGTCTCTAAAACCCTCTGAGGTAGGGACATCCAGACATGTACATGAAATTGAATTCTCAAACATTGGGAGCAAATACAGATGGAAAACACTGAGTGACTGAAGCAGAGACTTTCTATCCTGGAAGGCAAGTCTGCTGTGATCCTCGGACCCTCCAGCCACAGCTGTTCTGTCATTGCCAAGCTTTTTTTTTTTTTTTCTAACTATGCCACCAATGTCCCTTAGGTAGATAACTTTGATCTTTGTGTCAAACTCAGGTGGCAGCTGGATTCAGGTTCAGAACAACATTCAGGGGCAGCATTGTACCTTGGCTTCTCTGAGCTGAGAAACCCCAAACCACTTATTCCATTAAACTGTTCTGATTGAAGCAGGGGTGTGTCAGTTAATGAACACATGCGATGCATTTTGGAGATGCAGGGTGGTGAGTTAGTGAGGACACACGGGAGCAGAGGTAGATGAGTGCCTGGACTTTCATTCATGAGCTGGTACCCACTAAGAGTAGTGTATGTGTCTTTCCCCTGCTCTCCTAGCCTTCGGTAGCATATGGATATGTCTTCTCTAATCCTCCTACTCTGACCCCTGGGAACAACCTGGCCAGGTGCATCACAAAAACCAGGATGAGGCCAGGCAGTGGTGGTGCATGCCTTTAGTCCCAGCACTTGGGAGGTAGATTTGATGCCAGCCTGGTCTAGAGATCCAGTTCCAGGACAACCAGGGCTACACAGAGGAACCTTGTCTTGAAGAAAAAAAAAAAAAAAGAAAAGAAAAAGAAAAAGAAAACCAAAACAAAGCAAAAAACCAGGATGAGGGGCTGGAGGCGTGGCTCAGAGGTTCAGAGAGCTTGCTGTTCTTCCAGGGGAACTTGAGTTCCATTCCCAACACCCATAACGACACTCAAAACAACCTATAACTCCAGCCAGCTACAGGGGATCCAACACCCTCTTCTGGCCTCTATGTTTACCTGAACACATATGGTAGACACGCACACATACATACACATAAATTTTTGTTTGTTTGTTTGTTTTCAAGACAGGATTTCTCTGTGTAACAGCCTTAGCCATCCTGGAACACACTCTGTAGACCAGGCTGGCATTGAACTCACAGAGATCTGCCTGCCTCTGCCTCCTGAGTGCTGGAATTAAAGGCACGTGCCACCACCACAGACCAGCATACACATACAATTTTTTTAAAGGAAATCTTTTTATTGTTTGCTTGTTTTTTGATTTGTACTGGCAGATGAATTCTCATTCCTAAAGCTTGGAGCCATTTAGCCTGGTTATAATCTTTCCATACCTTCCTTGGCTTGTCCTGCAGGGTTAATAATTCAAGTGCTACAATTTCGTTGATAACCATGTGGACACATCCACCTGCCCCATCCCATTTGGCTAAGAGCTCAGGACAAGGCAGGATCTAATATGACCTTAGCCAAGAGTCAGGGGACAGTTTTCAGGGTGTTCTATTCTCATTCTGTTGCTGTGATAAACCTCTGACAAAAAAACAACTCAGGGGAGGAAAGGGGTTCTTTCAGTATATAGGTTTCAGTGCATTATTGAGAGAAGTCAGAGCAGGAGCTCAAGCAGAGATACCATGGTGGAATGCGGAGTGCGGCATGCTGCCTTGCTTTCAGGCTCGTGTTTAACTAGTTTCTTTTTCAGCCTAGAATCACCTGCCTAGGGAATGGCACCACCCATGGTGGGATTGGCCTTCCTACATTAATAGTCGCATAATATCCGCCTACCCCAAGACATGTCCACAGGCCAAACCAACCGGAAAATCTCTCAGTTGTGACTCTTGCTCAGGCGACTTTAAGCTGTGTCAAGTTAACAGTTAAATTGTTTTTTAAAGATTTATTTGCTATGTAAACAGTGTTCTGTCTGCATCAGATCCTATTATAGATGGTTGTGAGCCACCATGTGGTTGCTGGGAATAGAACTCAGGACCTCTGGAAGATCAGACAGTGCTCTTAAGCTCAGAGCCATCTCTCCAAGCTCCAAGTTAATTGGGATATTGGACAAATATAGCCTTCCCAGGGATCCCCTGGTCCTAAGCCTGAGATTTCACCAAGGACTGGAGTTCTAGCAGAATTTTCTTCTGTCCTTTGTCTTCATGTCAATATTGGTTGGGGATTTTTGTTTGGTTTGGTTTGGTTTTTTGGGGGGGAGTGCTGTTTCAAGACAGGGTTTCTCTGTAGCTTTAGGGCCTGTCCTGGAATTCACTCTGTAGACCAGGCTGGTCTCTAATTCACAGAGAGCCACCCACCTCTACGGAGTAATGCTGGGATTAAAGGCAGTTGCCACCACTGCTCTGCTTAATGTCAATATTGTTAACAATTGTCTCTTTGGATTTTCAAAGTATAGGCTTATGCACCAGGTGTGATGGCACACACCTTTAATGCCAGTACTCAGGTGGCAGAGACAGGTAGATCTTTGTGTATTCAAGGCCAGCCTGGTCTAGATAGCATGTTCCAGGCCAGCCAGGATTACATAGAAAGACCATGTCTAAGAAACATAAACAAAAAGTTTAACTTTGAAAGAGAGACAAGGGCACCTATGAGAACTATAACCATGGAAAGCTAGGCATGAGTCCCCAGGATCATTTGAGATCCATGGAAGCTAACCCACAGGACCATCTGCTAACAGTGGCACCATGTGGCAGTGAGAAGTCACAGCAGGCTAAACCTGCTTGCTGGAACTAGGAAGTCAATGACATCGTCTCTTTTTTGGTTTATGTGCCTTAGGGGTCCCTGGGTGGCATTTACAGATGTGACTGTGCTGATGGTGCAGCTGATCCAAGACATTAAAACAGCTGAGGTCCCCGAGGTCCCTGGATTGGGATGTTCTGTCTTAGACCTGCTTCCTAATGTTCTTCCCCTTGGGTCACCTCGAGAAGATAAAATTGTATGAGACTCACGTGGTAGAGAGTGAAAGCTACCAAACCAAGTGTGGAAACTCGCATTGAGAAGGCCTTTGGGGGAGTTAGACTTTCTCTGAACATACAACTCTTCTGGTCATAGGAAATAATGTGCCTTCTGTTGGATGTGGATCTCCAAAGGCCCATGTCTTAAGGGCCCCAGACTGTGGGCTATTGGGAGACAATGAAACAAAATGAGGCCTGGTGAAAGGTCCTGAGGGAATGCCTGGCTCTTTCTAGTTTCTCTTTTTGCTCTTTCTGCTTCCACCATGATGCAGTGCCTCGATACAGACCTAAAGGTCATGGTCATGTGACCACAGGTAGAAAACTTCTAGAGTGGGATCCTCCTTTCTTTCTATTTATTTATTTATTTATTTATTTATTTATTTTTGAATCCTTCTTTCTTGTAGGTTGGCATACCTGATATTTGTCATGGTGACAGAAAGTGAGCACATCCCTCACAGATTATAAGTTTGTAGAAGGCAGGGACCACACTTTACCACTGTGCTTCTGTGGCTTTGTGTGGTGAAACCAAAGGGTTGCTCAGGAAGGCAGGGAGACACCCTTTGGTGTCTGATGCTGCATCATTTGGAGCATGCTTTAGTTGTGAGAGCGGGAAAACCAGGCTGCTGTCTCTAAGACATTGCTTGCCCTAGACTGGCCACTAGTGTTACCAAGTGGAAGCTCTCCTCAAAGTTCTGAAATGCAACCATTTGGCTTGACATAAAAGCTTTCAATTTATGACACAAAGGAAGAATAAGCAGACATCACAAAATCCATTTTATTTTTATCACAGCTAACATCTCAGAAAACAGTTCATGGCAGCTCTAGAGGAGAGGCCTGGCTAGATGCCTCAAGCCTTCACCAAGGCAGACACACTCCTTCCAAAGGGCAGTGGAGGAAGCTGAGCAGCTAAAGCATGTGGTGAACACTGTCACAGAGGGCTGGGGGTGTGTGACAGAGCCGAGGCCCAGCTGTATGTGCTTAAGCACACACTCTGCGGTGGAGTTGTGTCCCTCCATCCCAGGGGACTGTTTGCAGAAGATGAGAACAGGCAATTCTTTGTGGAGATGGAGAACAGATGTCAGACTCAGCCTTTTACAAATAGGAATTCAGAGTGTGACACCCTGGACCTATTGACCAATTTCAAGGAAGGGTTCTATCTTCTATTTTAAAGCCCCCCCCCAAAATGTTAGGGAGTGACAGTATATACTTCTAATCCCAGCACTCAGGAGGCTGAGGCTGGAGGATCACAAGTCTGAGGCTATCTTGTGTTGCATAGTCAGCCCTAGGTTTTTTGTTTTGCTATAAACTAGTTAAGCTACTTCTCTGACTCAGTGTCAAGTTCAGGGAGTTCCTGGGGTGAAGCTTAACCAGCCAGCACCCTTATGATGTCATCGGCAGTGGGGGGATGTGGACAGGGCGCAGAGCTCTGATCCCTGCCCATTTATTTGCTGCTGACCCCTATGGAGTCTTGTCCCTGAACTACATATGCAGTTCCTAGTTAGTCACCAGGAACCCTGAGCCATGCTCTCCAGGATGTTTCTGATGATCTTTCTGTTTGCTGTTTGAGGCGTGGGTAGTGGGAATGAGGGGCAGGGCAAGGCCTTTGTGTGCTCGTGTGGGCAGTTAACACAGTAAGGAGCTAGAGGCTCTATCGCTGGTCAGAACAATCAGACTGAATTTCTAGAAATTGGAATAAACTCAAGAGAGAAAGGCAAGCTCCAGATGAGGGGGCAGGAGAAGACAGGAGAATGCAGCCTCCCGTTACACTCCTCTTCCCCCGTGGTCTACTCTTTCCTCCTCGTAAACGCTGCTAGCTGAAGTCTCACTCAAGCAAAGAGCTGTTTCTCGTCAGCAGTAATGCGAGTTGCACTCTTCTGCCTGTATGTCAGTGAACTGGCTTTCCTCATCTTTGTTCTGCTCTCTCTGCCTAGGGGCCCGTTTCCTCCTGTTTCTTTTGCAGGGCTGGTAGTTCAGATACAGTGCTATGGTGATCACAGCCATGCCCAGGGTGGAAATGACGATGATGAAAATGGTGGAGGACGTGATCCCTTCGTGCAGCCCTGTGGAGGCACAGAAGACAGAACTGGGGAAGGGGGCTAAGGACAAGAGAATCATTCCACCCCATGACACCAAGCCCACTTCAGACACATGTCCTCCAGCCCAGGAGCATCTTGTCTCCTCCACACTTGTGAGAATCCCAAATCTGGGCGCACTCACGGCGACGGGGTGCTTTCTACCCTGAGCCTGGCAGCTGGTGCAGCAGGTACCTTGGACAATGACAGCAATATCTTTGCTGACAGAGCCTAGCTGGTTAGTGGCTGTGCAGCAGTAGGTTCCAGTATGGTTCTGGGTGGCCTTCTGCGGAACATCAAGGTCGATAACCATCCCATTCCAGATACACACCAGAGCTGGTGTGGGGTTTCCCTGGGGGATGCAGGCAAGCATCTGATCCATCCCTTCTATCCATATCTGGTTGCCAGGGCAGCTGGATTCCTCAAACCGAGGCTTGTCTGCAAAAGAGTCCCTAGTTCTATGTCCTGTTCCCTTCTCATTTCCATTCAGAGTCCTTCCCCTCCTTAGCTCAAATGTTGCTCCCTCAACCCAAGGAAAATACAATCAGTTTCCTGCTTAGAACAAAGCCCACCCTCCTCCCTTCCCTGTGGCAAGGATTCTGAGATGCGGCCTAGGACATATTTATGGACTCAGGCTAAGTAATAACATGGTTCCATTGGTGGAGCCCAGGACTTCTCAATGGGCAAGGAGTTAACTCAGAAATAAGAATTTCCTCATTTTCCAAAACACAAATTGTGATTTGGAATTTATGGAGGCTTCTCTCCCTAGCACCAGCCTCAGCTGTCTCCTTTAATTCGATGTCTCCCAGGCACTGGCTCTCAGCTAAAGGTGTCTGACCACCAGAACCATTTGCCTTTCTGGGCACATTCCCCATAAAGCTTGGGCATGTTTCTTTTATTTTCTTCTCTGGGGTTTTTGAATTAGAGACGTGTGGCCTCTTTACTAACAAAGCTACTAGCCAAGAAGGGAATATGAGAGTCCTTCCCTTGTCAAGGGCCACGGGGCCTCTACTCACACAACACATGAAGCTGGATCTTGGTGGTTTTGAGAAGTCGCTGGCCCTGAACCTCCAGAGTGGCCTCACAGGAGAGATTCCGGCCATCATCTTCCTCCCTGGCAGTGAACAGAAACCAGGCAGGCTCCCCGGGAGCAGAGAGGTTTGGGGCTCCCTGAAGCCGAATAGTAGGGCTAGGTGATGTTAACACATGCCCTGAGCAGGTTACATTAACGTCTGTTCCTGCCAGAGGGTAAGCATCTTCTACCTCCAGAACTGGTGGAGGGAAACCTACAAAGAAAGGAAAAAGAACAGTGGACACATTTTCAAAACTGGAAATTTCGAGCCAGGTGTTGGTGGCTCACGCCTTTGATCCCAGCACTCGGGAGGCAGAGGCAGGCGAACTCTGTGAGTTCGAGGCCAGCCTGGTCTCCAGAGTGAGTGCCAGGATAGGCTCCAAAGCTACACAGAGAAACCCTGTCTCGAAAAACCAAAACCAAACCAAAACAAAACAAAAAACTGAAAATTTTAAAATAGGTGGCTGCTCCTGTCCTCTTGTTGCTGGAGGTCTCCCTTGGGTAAATGACAATGACAGAGGAGAGACTTTGCATAGCATTATTAATGCTTTTGTAAAGGCTGAAGAGAGGGAGCAATAAGATGGCCTGAGGACGGAGAGCTCTCTTCCAACAATACAGCATGCCCCATTTGGCTGTCTCTCCTGCAAGGACAGTAAGATGTCTTCTCATCATACAGGTTTCTTACTCAGCCCAAATGCTTATTCTAGAATCAAATTCAAGCATCTGCAATTGCCCAATAAGCAGGATAGGTTAGGAAACTGAGGACAGAAACCACATAAAGCCACCGTCACAATGCAGGTCCCTAACCTACCTCTGTCAGAGAAAAGGGAAAGCTAACATTCACTTAAGAAGACACCCAGCAAAGGTTAGCAGGATAAATATCTATAGCCAAATCCACAGCATATTACTATGCAAACTCTCCTTAGCAAAGACCCAAACATGGGGAAGAGAGGCGGTCACGTACTGTAGACATGTACTGGTCTCCTGACTTTCTGCTCCATGGGACCCAGAGACACAAGGCAGGTCAGCTCCTGGTCACCAGTCTCCATGGCCCGAATGGTGGCGCTGGCCCATGCTGCATCTCCCTTCCAGGAGGAGAAGGGGCTCAGCTCCTGGTCTTCCAGGAACATTCGGAAGACAGCTTCCTGGGCAGGAAACACCCTAAACACCTCACAGTTCATGGTGTCTGCCACCCCAACCTCCAGGAGTGAAGACACCCCAATCTTCGGACTCTGAGAGAATTCTGCCAAGTAGTTGGGAAAAGGAAAGAAAGAAGAAAGCTTTAAGTCATGTGTCAATAGGATACCATGGGAGGGAATGGGGCTGATGGTGAATTAGAGGTGGGGTTCAGTCACCCTCACTTCCCAAACCTATGGGGACAGGGTCCCCAAAGGGCAAAACAGGCCCTGGATTCTCTTCATGCCTGGATTCTGACTCACCAAAGATCCGGAGTTCCTTGGTGGCTGAGCTGCCATGAAACAACCCCCCACCTTGCGGGCTCAGGTCCAGTACTGCACGGCAGGAGAAGTTGCACCTGTCATTCTCCCGTTGGGCTCTGACACTGATAGTGACCTCAGCTCTTTGGGATGCCACAGATAAACTCATGAAGTCCTTTCTGTGTAGTTCTTGGTCACCCTGGAGAAGGGTAAGGGTGAGGCTCTGCAGGGGTGCCACACCGGGCACGTGACACTTCACTGTGAAAACTTCATCCATGGCCACCCACTCGGGCTGTAAGTCCAGGATCACCTGCTCTGGTGGCTCTTTAAGACAGAAAGACAAGCCTTGGTGAGGAGCCGCTCACATCCAGAAAGAAATGACATTGCAGAAGGTGACTGCTACCTTTAAGGCTTCACTCGGTAAGTCAGCCTTCCAGCTCTCTGTCCATTGAAGGTGACTGTGGCCAAGAATTGTGACGGCTAAGAGGAAGTCCCTTGTTTTGAATTTTCCTGCCATTCTGGAATATTTTATCTCTTATCAGTGATGTTTTAGAGGCATGAGAAGCTTAGTGGTGTGTGTGTGTGTGTGTGTGTTCTTTCACTCATTCTTATCTTTGCAATGCAAGATGGCTCCCTGTAGGACCAGGTTTAACAGTCCCAACCGTTGGGAATGACCTGCACCACAGGCTTCTCTAACTACCCAGCTTAAAAGACTGTTGTCCTTCCTGCAATCCCTGCCTATCCTGAGAGCTGGCAACAAATAAACTGGCATTGATTTTACACCTAGTCATTCAGAAACTGGTATTCTTAGCATCTGCTCCACGTATATTCTGTGTATTCTCAAGAATGCCACCTTGCTGATGGTGGAAACTCAGAAGACAGCCTCTTCAAAGGGAGAGAATCCTGACGGTATGACTGAATCTACTGGGGGGTCAGGGTGGGGGTGTGTGATTCTCTCCTCTAAGTAAAATCCCTGTCTAATTCTTCCCTAAAATGCATTTCTGTTTCCCACTCCTCTCTTCTGGGCCCTCCACCCTACTCACGGAACATGGTGATGTAGAGCATTGTGTCCTTCTGGACCCCTCCACAAGAAAAGAAGCACTGCAGGACAGAGTTCTCTGTGACATCTTCCAGGAGAAACTCCTTCCACTGAGGCCCTTTGCCCAGCTGGGTTTTCTTGAAGAAGGTCTCAATTCCACTGGGCCCAGGATCTGGGCAAGTGGTGCTGCAGTTGATAGTTAGCGACTGTCCAAACTTCACCAGGGCTGGATTTGGCCAAACAGACACTTCAAATAGCTCTTCTGTGGTCCCTGAAATGAAGCACACAAGCCAAAACTGGTGAGGACCAGGAGATCCAGCACGAACTTTGATGGATGCTCTATTAGATCTAGGCTGGAGAAGAGGGAACCTGCTCTGGGACCTGAAGAATAAACCCTGTAATCAACAAGTGAGAGCTTTGATCCCAACCTCATTCTCTGGCTCCTCTGTCCTGGTGTCTAGATTTTATCACAAACTCTAAGGAGGTGCTAAAAGTCATGCCCTGGGATGCTCTCTGGGCTCAGACACTCAACACCCTAGTGAGGTCTTTGTTCTTCTGCTGCAAAGCAGCATTTCTCTCAAGTACTTAAGGGCTGCCTTCACAAGAATCGCAGAACTCTGGCTCTGACAGAGTGACTACTACCCACTAGTGAAGGTGGGACCTGGAAAAAAGGCCTCAAGGGACTCTTCTTTTCTTTCTTCTTTTTCTTTTTTTTTTTTTTTTTGGTTTTTTGAGACAGAGTTTCCCAGTAGCTTTGGAGCCTGTCCTGGAAATTGCTCCATAGACCAGACTGGCCTCGAACTCACAGAGATCCACCTGCCTCTGCCTCCTGAGTGCTGGGATTAAAGGCATGTGCCACCACTGCCTGGCTATGGATTGGATCTTCAATGTCCCCAGAAGTCCATGTGCTAGAAACTTGCTGCCAGCCTGTGGCACTATGGAAGGTGCCTTTAGAAGGTCGGGCCTAGTGGAGAGGGTCCTGCAGGTATGTCTATGCACCAAGTGCTTGTGTGGTGCCTGTGGAGGTCAGAGGAGGATGCTGGATCCCCTGGAACAGCACAAAATGGTTGTGAATAGACGCGAGGGTTCTGAGGCCTTTGCAGGCCTCAAGACTAGGGCCTTTGCAAGAGCAACTTTCCTCTTAACTGCTGAGCCATCTCTCCAGCCCGAAGGAGAATATTTTTTTGTTTTGTTTTCTGAAAATCTGTCATTTAGGGAAATATTTTTGAGAGATAAAGGAGTAGCTAAGGATGTAGCTTATCTGCTTGGCTAACATGCACTAAGCCTTGTGTTCTATCCCCAGTATAAAACTGTATAAAACTGGGTTGGAGAGATAGCTCAGTGGTTAAGAGCATTGGCTTCCAAAGGACCTGAGTTCAATTCCCAGCACCCACATGGTGGCTCACAGCCATCTGCAATCCCAGTCCTAGAGCCTTGAGGCCCTCCTCTGTGGCCACTAAATGAGCATGATGCACAGACGTACAGGCAGGCAGAACACCCATACACATACACATAAGTATTTTTAAAAACTGTATAAAACTGTCATAATGGCTTATGCCTGTAAGCCCAACACTCAGGAATTAGAAGCAAGAGGATTAGAAGTTCAAAGTCATCCTTGGCCACATGGGGAGTTTGAGGTTAGCCTGGGGTATGAACTTGTCTCTAAATAAATTTTCAACTTAAAAAATAAAATGACTCTCTTATTCTTACACTCACTCTCTCTTTCTTACCTTCCTGACTCTCTCTTACCTTCTCTGTCTCATGCTCTCCCTCTCCGACCTGTAATAAACTGGTTAATGTACTCTCATGATGGCAATAAAGTCATGGCAGCTCATCACCTCCAGTCAGGGGCATGAATGCATGTGCTCAGCTCACTTTCTCCTCTTAGTCAGTGCAGGATCCCAGTGTATGGAGTGGGGCCACCCACAGCGGGAGGATCTCCCCACTCCAATTAACCTAACCAAGATAATCCCCCACGAGCAAGCGAAGAGGCCCATCTCTAGGGTGATCCCAGATGCATCAAGTTGACGACCAGCATTAACCCTCACCCATCGCACTCTGCTTGCTCACCCATGTGCGTCCTGCCACACAGTGGCTAGAGACCTTTTTCTAGGTAGCCTCACCTGGACAAGGGATCAAGGCTAGCAGGGTCCAGATACCAAGCAGAAGCATTTTCATTCTTGGGAGAAAGACCAAAAGCTGGGGGAAAGAAAAGAAAGAAGTGCTGGAGAGAGACTTTTTCATTCCATTTTCATAAAAACTTTCTGGGTGTGAAGGTTTTTCCTGCATGTGTGCCTGTGCACCACAAGTACTCCTGGTGCTGGTGGAGGTCAGAGGAAGTGTAGGATCCCCTGAGACTGGAGTTATAGAGGGTTGGGAGCCACCATGTAGGTTCTGGGAGTCAAACCCGGGACCTCTGCAAGAGCAACCACTGCTCTTAACCTCTGAGCCAACTCTCTAGTCCAGAGAATAATTTTATAAATAAAAATGTATAAAAGGAAGCCATTTGCTGTAGTGTCTGCTACAGTCAAGAACCTGAGGTGGAAGCAGGAGTATCAGGAGTTCAAGGTTATCCTCCTTGAAGAATCAGAGGTCAGCCTGAGCTACTTCATCTCAAAAAAGAAAAAGACTGGAGAGGCCAGTCTGGTCTACAGAACAAGTTCCAGGACAGCAATGAACCTGTCTCAAAAACCCAAACCAAACAAACAAAACAAAACAAAAACACATTTAGCCAGGCAGTAGCGGTGCACACCTTTAATCATAGCACTTGGGAGGCAGAGGCAGGTAGACCTTTGTGAGTTCCAGGCAAAGTAAGTTCCAGGATAGCCAGGGCTACATAGCGAGACCCTGTCTCAAAAACCAACAACAAAATGATAACAGCTTTACTCAAGTTTAGTAGAAAAGACAAATGTAAAAATATATCTTTGCTAAATGCTGTAATAAAATGGTGTGGTGGGTCTAAGGGTGTGCCTCAGTGGCTGAGTGCTTGTCTACCATTCACAAGGCTCTGGGTTCAAACTCTTGCATGGGGGAGGCAGATGTTCTAAATATTTTGTTAACTTTACATAATATTATTGGTTGAGGAAATGGAGGACCTGAGTTCACAACCCCAGCAGCCAAATGAAAATCTGGACGTGACTATGCAAGCCTGTAGCCCCAGCTCTGAAAAAAAACCAAGACAGGATGGATGGGCCTCCTGGTCAGCAGTCTAGCTCCAGGTTCAGTGAGAGGCGCTGTCAGTCAAACTGGTTGGTTTTCTTTGTAGTTGCTACTAGTTTATATCTGTGTCTCAAGTCAGCACAAGAAAACAAGGAGAAAGTGAGGGTTATTTTTGGTCATTCACACACACCCGTCCATCCCTACACCTATGTCTGTCTTTCTTCCTTTCCTTCTTTTTTTTTTAATTTTAATTTTAATTTTTTTGAGACAGGATCTTGCTCTACAGCCCAGGCCAACCTGGAGCTATTTATCCCAGGCTGGTCTTGAACACAGCACTCAAATGCTGAATTTGTGCCACCAGACCAGGTTCTCAGGCACACTTTGTTCCATGCTACTTCATGCCCTCCTCTGACTTGCCTGCCACACCCACAGCTCTAATCCTTCACTGTTGCTATCAGCACACATATGATCTGATTTTGTTTATTCTGTAAATTACATGCCAACTTAAAGGACTTGAGCAGTCTCTTCCCCCCTGCTTTTTTTTTTTTTTTTTTTTTTTTTTTTTTTTTTTTTTTTTGAGACAAAGTCTTATGTAGCCAGGGCTGACCTTGAACTTGCTAAGTAGCTGTGGATGAATTCCTGATCCTCCTGCCTCCACCTCCCTAATGATGGGATTACAGGGGTGCACACACTCTAGGAGACTGGATGGAGGAGCTGACCTAACATAGATCGTATGCTTCAGACTGTGGGCCCCTCAAGGGTCTCTTGCTCAGCCCTCAGCACCCACAGTTTCAGTCCAGGCTGCTATTTTCCTTTCCTATTGCATGCACTGCTGCTAAAGTATTTATGTTGGGCAGGCCCTGCAGCTTACCAGGAAGAAAACCTAAATAAACCCCTAATTTTATTTGTTCTTAGTTAACTTAAAAATCACAAATTTTGAAGATCACACGTCTTAGCAGGACAGAGCTAGTCTCCCAGTAGCTCTCCTAGAGACTCCAGCCTTGACAAGTGAGGCGGAATTGGTGGCCTAGGTTAGGTTTTTCACATCCCGAAGACTGCTTCTACTGCAAACACTCTTTTCTCCTGCCTCAGACAGGGTGACTGGAAAGCATAAAAAGGCTGTCTTCAGACTTCTCCTCAGTGTTGCATGCAGACATGTGGGACCACTTGAAAATACTTTGGTCCAAAATTGTAATGCAGGGTTAATTTGACCTTTTTTTTTTTTTTTTCCCTCGGGGACAAGGTTTCTCTGTGGCTTTGGAGGCTGTCCTGGAAGTAGCTCTTGCAGACCAGGCTAGTCTCGAACTCACAGAGATCCGCCTGCCTCTGAGTGCTGGGATAAAAGGCGTGTGCCACCACTGCCCAGAGACCTATCTTCTTTTAAAGTCACCTACAGCATCAATGACTAGAATGAATCATCAGACCATGAAACTAACGAAAAAGAGCGGCACGGCCTAACCCAGAGTCCTCCCCTCAGAAAAGTTGGCCGCCTCCACAGCCGCCGCCGCCAGCAGCCGCCCCCAACCTCTTTCCCTCCCTTACAGTCACGACATACCCTTCATCTTTAACCCCTCACTCCTTAGAATTGAGAAGTTGATTTCGTGTGGTTTCCAGCTCTTCCATCTTTGACCACTACATAAACATCTCTCTTGACACTGGTTGGGGTTGGGATGGGATGGTGGGATGACAGGAACACTTTTTCCAGGTTTCCTCGCCTGTGTCTCTCTCCCTGGGACTGTAAGCACCATGAAGGCAACGGCCCTTTGTTTTATCTACTGATGCATCCCAAGAGACTGGAGTCAATTAGCAATTTACCAAAGGCTGAACCCAAGAAAATATAAGCTAATCCTTGTGGGCGCAAGAGCTTGGGTGGGGGACAAAAGGCTGGTAAAGAGGTTGGTTCCCTTCTAGCTGGGAAAGGGGTGTGCACACAGTCGGGCCTGAAGGCATTTAAAAACAGACACTGTTTAAAACATTTAAAAATACGTGGGAAACAAAAACTCCCAGGTATGTTGGCGAACTCCCCCACAAGCCGACCCTTTACTGGATTTCACAGGTAGAAACCGACAAGAAGAACCCAAGCAAACCAAATAGAACTCAAATCCTCACTGAGCTGGGGCTGTCCGCTTGTCTCTCTTGCCTCACTGGCGGCTCCTCGAAGCTCGGGAACCACAGACTGAAGGGCGGTGTCGCCGCCGCGCTCGAAACAGCCGCGCGCTCCGACCGACCGACCGTTAGGTCCCCCCCGCACCTGGCGGGGGCGCTCTGCGCCTGTGCTGCGCCGAGGAGTCCCCAGATCTGCCCGGAAACTCGTGACGCTCACTCAGGCTCTCAACCGGGTTGGCTGAGAGGAGACGCGGGAACAAATACCTTAAAAGAGCATGGGCCGCCCAAGCCCAGTCCAAGCCTATGATAGGGATAGATACACCCTGGTCCCGCTGCCAGTGGCTCCACAGACCAAGCCACACTACTGTCACCCACATTCGGAGGGCCTAGTTTGGTCCTACGCAGGTTCCCCGGCTGTCACTCCTGGGTCAGTGAGCTCCCACTAGCTCAGGTCAGCTGTTTCTGTGGGCATCCCCAAACTGGACACCTTTGCTCATGTTATGGCTCCTCCGTGTCTTCAACTGGACCCTTGGGAGCTCAGCCCAGTGCTTAGCTGTGGATCTCCGCATCTGCTTCCATCAGTTACTGGCCGAAGATTCGTGTTTTGTCTTTCTGGGTCTGGGTTACCTCACACAGGATGGTTTTTTTCTAGTTCTATCCATTTGCCTGCAAATTTCAAGATGTCATTGCTGAGTAGCACTCCATTGTGCAAATGTACCACATTTTCTTTATCCATTCTTTGGTTGAGGGGCATCTAGGTTGTTTCTAGATTCTTTTTGGAGGGATACCTTGCTCAGCCTAGATATAGGAGTAAGGACCTTGGTCCTGCCTCAAAGCAAGGTGCCAGAGTTCATTGATTCCCCATAGGAAGCCTTACCCTCTCTGATAGGGGTGGGGTGGGGGAAGGAGAGGGTAGCAGGAGGAGGGAAGGGAGTGGGAACTGGGATTAGTATGTAAAATGAGAAAAGATTGGAATGTAAAAAATAAATTAATAAAAAAATTAAAAAATGAGCGGGGCATTGGTGGCCCACGCCTTTAATCTTTAATCCCAGCACTCAGGAGGCAGAGACAGGTGGATCTCTGTGAGTTCAAGACCAGCCTGGTCTACAAGAGCTAGTTCCAGGACAACCTCCAAAGCCATAGAGAAACCCTGTATCAAAAAACAATAAATAAATAAATAAATAAATAAATAAATATTTAAAAATGAGAAAAGATTGGTTTTTAAAATAAAAAAAATGATTTAAAAAGGCAACCAAAACCAAACCAAACCAAAACAGACAAAAAACCCAAGTACCTTAAAAGATAGGATGGGGGCTCAGCAAGAATAGTAGGGAAGCCGTCCTGTTTTGAAGAGAGTACAGATTTGACTCAAGACAATCACTGCGAGCCAGGCTTGGTGGTACAAACCGAAATCCAGACATATGTGTGCAAGGTCATCCCTTGGCTACAGAGGAGTTCCAGGCCCTCCTGTGTTATTTGATATCCTGAGTGATTGAAAGTTAATCATTTCTAAATAAAAAGAAATGATGGTTGTAAAGAGAAGATCTTTTAAAATAAATTTATTTTTATTTAGGTGTATGGGTGTGTGTAAATCACGTATATACAGATGCCTTTGGAGCACCAGATCTCCTCCTGGAGCTGGAGTATAGGCATATTTGTGAACCACCTCATGGGAACTGGAGGGCCTATGGAAGAACAAAAGTGCTCTTTTAATTTTATTTTTTTCAAGGCAGGGTTTTTCAGTGTACCCCTAGTCATTCTGGACCACACTGATCTGGAATTCAGAGTTTGCCTGTCTCTGCCTCCTCTGAATGCTGGTATTCATGGGCGGCCACCATCCGGCCAACGAGTGTTCTTAACCATTGGGCCATCCTTCCAGCCCCAAGACAGGATCTTTAAACAATCCCAAAGAATATCTTTCCCCCATGACTGTTCATCAGTTGGTTCTGCTTGAGAACAGAAGGTGGGCAGCTCTAGTCTTGCTTTGAGTGATCTGCCTCCTGAACTCTGGTCCTTGCTCAAAATTCCAAGCTACTCAGCTGCTGCCCGGTCTCCCTCTTCTGGGATATGTGTGCCAGAGTGTAATTCAGTGTGGCTTTGCCAAGATTCAAAAAGTCCTTTCTAGCCCATTGGCCCCAGAGTGTGTGTGTTGTTACTGTTTCAAACTGCATCTCCTATTGCCCAGACTAGCCTCAAACTCCCAATGTTCCCAATGTTTCAGAAACTGACCTTGAAGTGATCCTCCTCGTGCCTCTACCTTCCAAATGTTGGCATGACAGGCACACATCACCACGCCTGGCTCCCCTCCTCTACCTCATTCCTTCATCCCTCCCTCCACTTACAAAATGGCCCGAGTGCTCTGAAAAGCATGGAAGACAGCAACAGCCATGATGGCAGCTGGGGGTTGGGGATAAGAAGTCATGGAAAGTTCCAGAGGCAGTGACATTTGAGTTAACCTGAAAGATAAACTGATGCTTGCATGGCAGAGAGTTAGAGGAATGTATTTAGTGAATATTAATTGGGTACTTAGTTTTGTACCACATATGGTTCAGGGAGACACAGCAGGTGTAAGGCTCCGGTCTTTGAGGAGCTACAATTTCTACTGAATTACAGACAAAAGGAAACCACGGCTATGAAAGCACAAGGTGAGGTGTCTTCAGGGAAGGTGAGCTGAGCGTGGCCTGAGAGGAGAATCCTTGGGCTGTTGGTAGAAAACAGAGCTAGCTACCTGGGGCCAGATAGTAAAGTCAACCATGCCATACCCGGTCATTTAGTCAGGCTCTTCCATAAGGTAGTGGCTTTTAGACAATTTGGAGCTGTGGGCCTTTACAGTCTTGGAGGGAAGGTGGGAAGCACCCCATGTTATTTCAAACTCAGCTCTAAGTTCCCGAGACATTTCTGAGAAACCCAGAGAAACACATTTTTTTTTTTTTTTTTGAGACAGGGTTTCTTTGTGTAGCCTTGGCTGTCCTGCAAGTAACTCTGCAGACCAGGTTGGCCTTGAACTCACAGAGATCCGCCTGCCTCTGCCTCCAAGTGCTGGGATTAAAGGCGTGCGCCACCACTGCCCGGCTATTTTGAAGTCCTCTGCTGAAGATTAAGTGAGGGCACTTGGATTAGTGGGAGGAAGTGCTCTGATCTGATGTCTTGTGGGGGCGGGGGATGCCAGGGGAGATGCCAGGGGGATGCCATTGGGTAGAACGGCCAATGGAGGGAAACCAGTAGAATGGGAAGGAAGACATGCTGAGAATCCAAGAAAGATTTGGTGAAACACAGAACTCGGTAACTTTGAATGAGGGAAGGAGAGAGAGGAGTGGAGATGAGTGCAAGTGACAAGAGGGTGAAAGAGGGGCTGGAGAGATGGCTCAGAAGTTAGGAGCACTGACTGCTCTTCCAGAGGTCCTGAGTTCAATTCCCAGCAACCACATGGTGGCTCACAATGATCTGGTGCCCTCTTCTGGTGTGCAGATATACATGGAAGCAGAATGTTGTATGCATAATAAATAAATAAAATCTTTAAAAAAAAGAAAAGAAAAAGAGAGTGAAAGAGCCCCAGACTTGTTGATTGCGTCTTTGTGTCTGCCCAGCTACTTCCTTAGCCATTGCTGGCCTGAAGAACGAGGTTGATCGTCTCAGCAAGACATGCCTGGCATCTTGCCATGTCCTTGTGCTCTTCACCAAGACAGACACAGTTGAGGGGTGACCAAATATAATGACACTGAAACACTGATTTTGAGCAAGTGGGTTTAAGTGACTTTTTGAACATCTTTTGGGAGCTAGACATGGATCTGAAGCTCTGGGGAGAGCTGGGGGTTGGAGGAAGAGATTTATGGTCGCTGAAGAGATGGAGGATGAGTGTGACTAGATAAAGTAAAGAAAAGAAAGCTAAAGACAGAAATCCAGAGAGCAAGGCCATTTAGGACCAGAATGGGATCAAGAGTAAGTCAGAGATGCTGTAGAGGCCCCTCCATTGTTGTTCCCCTGTAGAGACAGTCTGTTTGTTCATTACCCCCAGTAGCTCTGGGTACAGATCCCTCTACCTTTGGAGGATCCAAGAAGTGACCAGGGATGAACCTCAGTGATGGCCAGTTTCTGCCTTGTATGGGAGAACATCAGAGACTGTAAGAGTGCTATGAACTGGCTGTAGCCATGAAGCTCATTACTTCCTTCCCCCTCTGTTTTTAGGCTTTATTTTTTTTTAACAGCTTTAGATGTGCAGAAATGAAGAGCAGAGAGTTCCCCATCTCTCCCAGTTTTCCAGTTATTAGCATCTTCCATTATGTTGTCTAGCTGTTACAATGAATGCAGCAGTATTCATGAATTATTACGGTTTATAGCTTACACTGAAGTTGTCTGTGCATTATACAGTTCTGTGTTTTTAAATTTTATTTTATGTGTATGAATGTTTCATCGGCATATATATAAGTACAGCATGTATGAGTGTCAGAGCTTGGGACTGGTGTTATAAATGATTGTGAACCACCATGTGGGTGCTGGGAATCTGCCCTGGGTCCTCTAGAAGAGCAGCCAGTGCTTTTCACCACTATGCCTTCTCTCCAGTCAATATTTTTTATGTATGAATCCTTGGTTCTCAATTAAAATAACTGTTTGGGAAGAAACAGGGGCTGTGACATTATTGAAGGAGGTATGACTCTGGAGTAGGCTGCGAGGTTTAAAAGTATCCAAGCATTCCCAGTGTGCCTCTCTACCTTCTACTTTTGGATCAAATGTGAGCTCTAAGATGTTCCTGACACCATGATTTTTCCCTATCATCATGGACTTAACCTTCTGAAACCATCAGGCAAATTAAATGTTTTCTTTTATAAATTGCATTGGTCATCACATTTTGTCGCAGCAATAGAAAAGTAACTATTACAAATGGAAAGCAGCCTTAACTTCTGAACTATTTCTCCAGCC